GTAGGGGGTGGTTTGTCGGAGGGGGTGGGGCGGGCCAAAAACCTTCAAATTGGTTCCTAGTTCGTGGAGCGAGCGAACGAGCGATAGCGAGGTAGCGAGGCGTAGCGCCTATGATTCACTCTCTTAGAATTTGTCCGTTACGCACATTAGACGGAACACAAGAAAAGCGGGGGTCAAAGAAGCGGCAGCCCCCTTGCATTCTAAAGGGAACATTGATTAACAACTAAAGGAAAGTTGATTTTAACCCTCACAGGGAGTGCCATCAGAATCAGAAAAGCGGGGGTCAAGGGGGCGGCAGCCCCTTTGCATTGTAAAAGGAGATTGATTAGTACCTGAAGAAAAGTTGATTTCAACCACCAAAGGGAATGCCATTACAAAAGCGGGGGTCAAGGGGGCGGCAGCCCCCTTGCAATCTAAAAGAAAGATGATTGATTCCTAACCAAACAAGCAGGCCCGCCCTTCTGGCAAACGAAGTTGCCAGCTCCGCTTCGCTCCGCCGGCAACTCCGTTCGGCAGGGGCCGGCCCTGCTTCGCCTGCCGGCGGCGATGGTCGGGCCTGCGGCCCGACCATTTCTGTTACGCGATTTGCTGAAGAACATATGATCGAATGATGTAGCGGGCCTTCGCCTTCGGCCCGCTTAAACCCGTTGCCTTTGAGTTTGCCCTATAGACACGAGAAAGGGATGTAAGGGTGAAGCACCGCGACTACAACCCACCCTTCTGTTTTGAAGACGCTTTTTGGGGTCGGGGGAAGGAGTTTCTTCCCTATTTTGCTGTTTTTAGGCCTTTTCCACAACTAACTTTCACTACGGCAATTTTTAGCTTAATTTCGTAAAAAGACCCTCTAGCGCCTAAACGGTTAGAGATAGAGCCAAACGAACGAAATTTTCCCCCAAAGGACTCTACTTTGACCAGTTACCCCTGACAAGGGAAGGTTTTCCGGTGATACAGTCAGATTTCAAAGGCGCTTTAAAGAGTAGTTGTTTGCACCTCTAGATTAGAATTGCCAATGGTTTTAGCTGCCCGTAGGGCGTTTGGGGGTCATTTCACAAGAATTTCATCAAAAATGTCCCAAATTCATCGCTTTTTTGCCATGTTCAGGCCATACTCTAGGCCTGACTGACCCTAAGTTCGACGGACGCAAGGCGTAACAGAGTCTACGCGTGACGGACTCAAGGCATAACACACTTTAGGCGCGACGGACCTCAAGGCGTAACAGAGTCTACGCGTGACGAATTCAGGGCATAACAGACTCTAGGCGTGTCGGACTTCAGGCGTGACGGACTCAGGGCGTAACAGACTCTACGCGTGACGGACCCTAGGCTTGACGGACTCAAGGAAGAACAGGCTCTAGGCGTCACGGTTAGTAGGCGTGACGGACTCAAGGCATAACAGACACTAGGCGTGACGGACCCTAGGCGTGACGGAGTCAAGGAAGAACAGGCTCTAGGCGTCAAGGTTTCTAGGCGTGACGGACTTAGGGCGTGACGGACTCAAGGCATAAAGCTGGTCCCACAATAGCTCCCGTCAGCCCCGGTCAGTTCACTTCAGTTCAGTACACGACACTTCTGCCGCGGTATTTACGCAGGGGGATGGGTAGAGTTATTACTTTTTCAGTCGTCTGATTTTATTTTTGATGTTATTTTTGAAGAAAATTGGCGTAGGACATTTTCAGTAACGACAGCAATGTTGGCTGGCTACGCCGCTGCGCCTTTCTCCGCGCCGCGCTACGACGCGCCGGTGGCGCCATCCGCCGGTGGCGGAAGCAAACAGCCACGACGGTTCGTTGTGGTTGTTGTTATTGTGGTGATTGTTTTGGGTTGCTTCGATAGTTTCTGTTAAGTGAAATAGCTAAATTATAAGCCATGGTCAGTGTTCCTGGAGTGACGAGAGTTCATGTGCGGCGGATTCTTTTGCGGTTACGACGTACTTTATCGCATCGTAGTAAGTTTTTCTCAATTAAAATATTTTTAACCTCCAAATTGTATTTATAGTTAATAACAGGGCTTGTGTACCTTTTGTCAGGAAATGCTAAGCTATTCATAGCCTTACGCCTACGGCAGTTGGAGAGGCAGAGGCTTCAAGTGTTGTCAAGGACACAGAGACGCCAAAAGAGATGGCATGTTCGACCCATGTTTCTGCACAGGAAGACTTTCCGAGCGTGGTTCTCTCTAATACCTGTGCTTCGAGAATTTGACAGGGATTATTATTTCAACTTTCTGCGAATGACACCGGAGTCCTTTGACTGGCTTTTAGATAAGGTGTCACCTATCATTGAGAAGAAGTCTTACAGGGAGAGTATTTCACCAGGCGAGCGGCTTGCAGTCACTTTGAGGTAACATTTTTAAAAAAGAATTTAAATGTTTTGCTTAGCAATATGGTCCCTGTCTATAATATAATTTCTTCTTGTAGGTACTTGGCATCAGGTGAAAGTCAGATGTCATTGCAATATGTATTTAGTATTGCTAATTAAACCATATCTGAAATTGTACTGGAGACTACAGCAGCCATTTGGTTTGTACTGAAACCCATAGTTTTCGAACCTATTTCAAGAGATATGTGGAGGCGGAAGGCTGCCGAATTTGAGACCATGTGGCAATTTCCTATGTGCATGGGAGCTATCGATGGGAAACATTGTGTCTTCCAGGTGAGTGCTTTCCACCTTTCACTTTTTATTTTACTGACATACTTTTTACCAACATTGTTTTAATAATGTTCCTGTCATTGCAGAAATTTGCAACAAAGGGGTCTGAGTACTACAACTACAAAGGGTCACATAGCATAGTTCTGATGGCAGTCTGTGATGCCAAATATAAATTTATGAATATAGGTGTAGGAGCAAAGGGAAGGGAAGGTGATACTGGTGTTCTAGACCGAACAGAATTTGGCGAACGATTCTATGACCATAAGTTAGACTTTCCTCATCGTGCTTACAATGCAGATATAGATGATGTTCTGAACTATGTAATTCTGGGTGATGGGGCTTTTCCTCTTCACCCACATATGTTGAAACCTTTCCCCCAAAGTCAACAATACAAGCCAGAAGAAATTGTGTTCAATTATAGACTTTCAAGAGCCAGAAGAGTAGTGGAAAACGCTTTTGGCATCCTGAGTGCAAGGTTTCGCATTTTGCGGCACACAACCATTGCAAATGAAACTCTTGCTCAGAACATTGTACTCTCTACATGTGCTCTTCATAATCTGCACTTAATGAGAGAGGACAGCATTCCTCCAAAGCAGCGCATGTACTCACCTCCTGGATTTGGTGATTTAATTAAAAGCAACACGATGCCTCCTAACGACAAAGTCCGATGTATTGCGCTCCCGTTACACAAAGTCCGATCCGTTTCACTCCCGTTACACAAAGTCCGATGTGTTGCGCTCCCGTTACACAAAGTTCGATCTGTTCCGCTCCCGTTACACAAAGTTCGATCTGCTTTCCGTCGCGCTCTGCATCGCGGTCTTTTCATGTTTATATTTTCGCTAATATTGCCGGTAGAAAAAAAGTAAAAGATGCTGTCTGTTGCTAAAAGATTGAAGAACAACACACTCTAAAGAAAAAATTGAATGCCACAACAACAAAACTGCGGTAGCGCTCTAAACTTGGGTCTCCCGAGAGCGGCCAAAAGCAGATCGAACTTTGTGTAACGGGAGCGGAACAGATCGAACTTTGTGTAACGGGAGCGGAACAGATCG